CATTAATATATATATATATTAGAATATTAAGAATATTAATATATATATATATATTAATATTCTTTAATCGTATATTTTTGAATTTAACACATTATTTTCTTGTCATTCCTATTTAATATTTGCATTTCCATTTCACATATAATTAAGTTTATACTACCCTTATCTTTTGCATCGATCAAATATTCATGTATATGTATTTCCGATATTATTTTATTCATCATTATAATTCATGATATAATTTTCATTAATACTTTTATTATTATTATTATTATTATTATTATTATTATTATTTTTATTATTATTATTATTTTAATGTAACTATTTCGTGTTACATTTAATATTTTACAATAATCCAAGAAATCACTTCTTTTTATTTGTCATATTAAATAACTTTGAATCATAATTTCACAATTAATTACACCAACAATCATAATTTTACAATACAATATCATATCCCGATTATTATATTAACAAAATATTATTTCCCCACGATTTCTGCTCGGTCGCGGATTCCAATCCGAAAATATAGTTTGTAATCGTATCCAATATCGCCATTGAACATAAATACACTAGATATCCCAAATTCCATTAACCGTTCTATGCCATCTCGTAACAGTATTATGCCGCAAACAATAACTAAGACGTTCCACGAGCCTTCAAGCATTTTAAACTGGAGTTAATACTTCCGAAAATAATATTTACAAAAGAAGGCGTTTATTATATCTATTGTACCCAAAAAAAGCGATAGGAGAATTCTATAGAACTGTGCCTCCCGGATCTTCGGGCGTTTACTAATGCGTAAGTATGCGACTCAAAATGTTATATTCGAAAAATACATTGAATATTTATTTGGAACTTTCTGCCATAGACATATGAAATAGACCGAGTTTTAGTACGAAGGATAACTGATATTTGCGGTAAGGGGGCACTCATCTGACTTCGATTATCTTCGTAAGTTCTCGAATATATTCGGCTTCTCACATGTCATATTTGTAATTAGTGACTTTTAACCTAACTGTGATACATAAAAATATTTTAAACTAATTAATAATGAAACATGCTGCTTTCGTTATTTTATATAAAATATTTTCTGTTGTTTCTTAAAACAAAATAATTTTTATAACTTGTATATATATATATATAAAATACATTTATAATATATTATGTATATAGTAATGTTACACACACAAACACACACATATGTATATACATTAAGGAATAATTTAAATATTAATTTAAATATTACAAATTTTTAATCCACATAACCTATATTTGCAATATTTACAAATGAAACGAGATCTTTTTATTTGTAATATTTTCCATCTCTAGCTGTTCCATATTTTTTTTATTATGATTTTTACAATTATATACAACGCAAAAACTCATTACTATTTTAATATATTTTTACTTCAAACGACTAATTTCTTCGAACTTTCACTATTCAAATGGAGCACAAAACATAAATAAATCGAATGTTACCGAATCTACACGAAATAAACCCTAGAGTGCCCCTCGCCCCGTATATTAGAACCTCCCTTATCTAAAGTAACAACTTTGCTCGGTCTATATATTTCATATGTCTATGCTTTCTACATATTAATTCTAAAGGTGCCTTTTCATACGTAGCACTCTGAGGCAGCAAGAATGTCACGTGATTCAAATTTTCTAGAATTTCTGCTGTATTTGCTGCTCATGAAAAGGAATAACGGCAGCAACATATTTAGCCGGCGGCAATTTTCAGTTTCTGAAAAACTGAGATAGCTGAGGATATGAAAGAGAGAATATTGACTGAACAATGTTTACTATTGAAAAAACCAAGAAAACGTCGATTTAAAAAGGGATTTTTTTCTTATTTGTTTTTTTATTTTAAAAGCGCTAAATTTTTTATTTTACAAATATACAGGGTATCCTATTTTAATGTCATACAATCCAAAATTATATCAGTGGCATACAAAATATGTGTTTTGTGCAAATAATTCAAAAATGTAATATGGAAAATTTGAAAAGACAAAAAATTGCGATTGCAACAACTGTTGGTGCAATTATAATTTGGGCAACCAAAATTTTTAAGAAAAAGAGACGTTATATATATTGTATCATTCTTTCTCAACTTTCATTCATTTCTCGTTTATGGATTTTTATTTGTGTTATTGACTACTTTGTTTTTATTTAATTTGTTTAACTATACACAAGCTTTATTTTTTATATTAAACATTTACATTCACAGATCTTCCAATGTCATATTTTTAATAATGTACAGAGATTCCGAAATCGCATCCCATTTAGCTTTAGCAGTTATCACTCTGTTGCGTTGTGCTAAAAGTAAACTAATTATAATGCTTCCTAATATTGAGGTTTTTCAACCTCAATAAATAGTTCTTCTAGGTCCGTTGAATTAGAAAAATTATTGAGTAAAATATTTTCACTCATTTCCGATAACAAATGGATAAATGATTCCTCAAGCGCAACATATTTATCTTTATTTTAATGACTTGATGGTTTATCGTATACAATGCTTTCTACGTATTCTCCATAGCACTTCTTTGTACTACGACGCCACTATCTATATAAAAAATTATTATATATACAGTTATTTTAATTTTTTTCAAGAATTGTACATTATTTTCATTTATATTTACCATGTACTAGATAAAAATATCTGTTATTATCAGTGAAAAACATTTCATATCCTTCCAAGCATTTATGACTTGAAATTAACGATTCTTCGATTATTTCTTCACAAATTCCACATCTAACAGAAAAATAAATTAGTAATCAGCACATTTAAACTGTATTGTAAGTTACATAAAAATATGTAATTTTTCATTAAATAATTTAGAAAGTAAAAAAGCAACATCAAAGTTTTTCTCATTTAAAATAAATTATAACTTTTTAAATTATAAGATCACTTAATAAACTTATAATAACTTATAATAAACAAGCTTTAAAAGATTACAACAATTGCGATTCATTATTTATATTCTTGATGTTGATAAATTGAGATTATGACTTTATATATCTAAATAATCTTATTACTACTTATTCGAAATAATTAATTAATAATATGTTTCATGTAACATCACAAACAAGTTTCTATACCTCATTTGATGTCATTCTCCTATATTCATTAATATATGTTAATTGATGTTACGCTGCACGTCGCATAGATTTCTTTTGTTTTGTTGCGGATTTGCTCGTCCGGTTCAACTTTAAAACAGCAAAGTGAGATGCGGTGAAATTATTTTGCGTCGGAAATACGTTATCTAGTGAACAAATTTTAACCAATAATAGCGAACTACTACAGCTGCATGCTGCACATGAAATGGCACTTTAAGACTTTAAGCTATTTTTAAAACAAAAAAATTCCTCGATTTTTTAAAAATTTCAAATTAGTCTACTCCCTTAATTGATTATGTTAATCGGAGCTTAATCGAAATCATTTTTACTATACAGCGTAGTAAAAATACGTTTGACAAACTTGAAAAAGCAAATCTAATTACATTGACTGATAATTCTTTAATGGAAGCATCTCATTTGACCACGTTATGATTGACCACAGTCACTCACAGCGGCTGGTGCCTAAAGATTTTCCTCTGTTCAAATGCTATCAGTGGCTGATGATCAATTGCAACGTGATCAAATGGGCTCCATCCTTTTTTAATATTGACATAATGCCTTGTAAATTGTCAATTTTAAATAGATAAGCTAGCAAAAAACAGATATCTTATGATAAAATACACTTACGATTATTTAAACTTACAAAAACATTTGCTTCAGTTTTATCCATACAATCCATTATTCTTTTTTAATTTTCATCTTCCATGCATTCCCACATGCGAAAAGATTAAAGCTTAAGACGATGCTGAAGATACCGACTGAGTCAATTATTTTCAGGTAATCTTTTCATTGATTATACAAAATTAAAAATTCTTTTCCAGAATTGAAGTATAGATAATAATGCATCCGGGTTTGTATATTTCATATGAAAGAGGAAAAAAAAAGTTAGAAAATTACAGTTATTGACTTTTGTTATTGATTTTTGAGATTAACTTGTGATAACATTTTGCTGTGCACAAAAGTTTAACTTTAAACATGT